GCTTGTAAAATAGTTCAACAGCTACTTCAGAAGAACAAATGGTTAGAGCAGCAATAAAAATCCCATACTATGAGAACCTGTCTACCACCACCATAATTGATGCTTTGCCATCAACGTTTGGAAGCCCGCTGATAAAGTCCATAGAAACAGATGCCCACGGACACTCCAGAATCGGTAAAGGTTGTAGAAAACAAGCTTCCTTCTTCCGTTCAGTCTTGTCAAGTTTTCACATAGGACTCAACATCATCTTTCATTTTCGGCCAAAAGTAATTCTGAGACAGCAATGCCAACATCCTTTCAACACCCGTATAACCAGCATAAGGAGTATCATGTGTCTCATTTAGAAGAGAACGATGCAATCCAGCACCTTGAGGAACCACAATTCTCCCTCCTTTGAAGCGCAGCAGATCGTCCTCGATCCAATACCATTTAATTGTTCCGTCTTTCACTTGATCCATCAATTTTACATACAATGGATCGTTCACAGCACACAACTTGATTGTATCCAGAAAATCAAATTCAATTCGAGTAAGCGCATAAGTTGGAGCAAATACCTCTTTGCGACTAAGTACATCGGCAACCTGATTTTGTTTTCCAGGTTTGTGCACCCAAACAAAGTCATAGTCAGCCAACAACTCTTGCCATCGGGCCTGCTTTGGACTCAATTTTTGTTGAGTCTTGAAGTATGTCTTAGCCACATTGTTCATCCGCACCACGAACTTTGTTCTTAGTAAGTAGACTCTCCAAACTTGAAGGCAATGAATTACTGCAACCATCTCTTTTTCATGTGCAGAATAACATTGCTCCGCAGCGTTCAACTTTCTTCTTTCAAATGCAACTGGATGATACTCCTGGACCAGCACACCGCCAACAGTATAATCTAAAGCATCCGTGTGTACTTCGAACGGCAAATCAAAATTTGGCAGCTTCAAGATTGGTTCGGATGCAATGGTCTTCTTCAATGCATTGAAATCCTTGTCACACGAATCCGACCAAACCCATTTGATATTCTTTTCAGAAAATCCGTCAAAGGAGCAACCCTTTTTGAATAGCCTGCAATGAACTTCCGGTAGTAATTTGACAAGCCCAAAAATGATCTAAGTTCCTTTATCCCGCTTGGTTCTTGCCAATCAACTATTGCTTGCACCTTCTTTGAGTCCATCCGCACTTGGTTTTCACTAACCAAATGGCCTAGAAGCTTTATCCCGCGACTTGTAAATTCACACTTTTCCATTTTGACATAGCTTTGATAGGCTCTAAGTCTTTCCAACACTTTTCTTAGGTGAGACAAATGATCTTCAAGGGTCCGTCTATAGATGACTATGTCGTCTAAGTAAACAACTACAAAGTCATCAAGATACTTGTAAAGAACATTGTTCATTAAATTACAGAAACTTTTCGGGGCATTGGTTGGCCCAAACGGCATTACAAAAAATTCAAAGCTCCCATGTCTAGTTACACAAGTGGTCTTAGCGGCATCCCATCGGCTATCCTAACCTGCCACAGTCCATGCCCATCAGCACCTGCCCATGCCGGATAGCTTTGTCAACATGATGCCACAGTCATTATAGGGTTGTACCGAGGTCCATCATATAATTCCCTCGTCATGCCCATGCCATGTTCGAATCAATCAATCCGAGGGGCTAACACTAGGCTTCTCTAGCAAGTTTTAATAACATTGTCAAAAATTAAAAAGAACAAATTAAAGAAGATGAACGCGTCCATTTGATACAAATGTGTAAAAGAGAAAAAAAAGTTAGTAATTTTTTATTAAAAAAACTTAATAACCTAAAATATTACTCCATTATGTACACACGTATACTGTGAAATCAAGTTTTGTACTTTTCTTTCAAATTTTATACTCTCTATATCAATTTGTTTGAATATTTTCGGAGTACGAGAGTCAAAATAGTTAATATTGAGTGTGAATTCGAACATATATTCTTTCAAATATTTTACAATAAAACTTATATATTAGAAACTAAATAAAAAAAGTATTGTTTGTCATTACAATTAATAATTTAAAATATTTAAAAACTATTTGCAAAAACTTTGGTAAAAAAAAAAATCTTATTTGACTCCCCAAATACTAATTTTGAAATAAATAGAATATAATTTTTAATATATTATTCTCTTAAATTTTCATATTTTAAACTGTTTTTTGGAACTTGGGGCTTAAACACGATGCTCAAAATCGTGTGGCTTAAACTTAAGCCCCGCAACTTGGGGCTTTGTTCTCCACTATAAGTCAAAACTCCTTCAATTGTCTAAAACTTTTGATTAATACGTGCCAGTTAAACCATATCTTTCTCAAGTTCATCTGAAAATCTTAGCTAGTCTTTGGCTATAAAATCTCAAATTTATTTTAAAAAATTTAATTTCGGTGAAGTTTGGTTTGAAGATAAAAATATGTTTGGACATAATTTTTCAAAATATATTTCACTTTTTTTTTTGAAAAAATATGAAATATGACTTATACCCATAAGTTCTAAAAACTATTAAAAAATATCCAATAATACCAAACAAATGAACTTGTTAATCCTCTATATGCAGAACCTTCATCGATGTCATTCATTATTATTATCACAAACCATAGTCTTGAACATAGAAAAGTTTGGCATAAAATTATCATTTTTATAATGAACTATATAATGCACTATCCTAAAACTATAACATGAGATTTTAATATCAACTGCTAATAACATAATTACTAGTCACTATAATTCGTCAAATTGCAATAATATTACAAGATCCATCAGTCCAAAAGAAAATGATAGTAATTAGCTGGTGGTTAGTTGGATCATAATAGATGGTGGGTTTTTTTATAAAATACAAAAGTTTGGAATAATTTTTGAAACTGTTAAAAAATCAAATAGTGATATTTTCGGCCAAAAACAAGCCTAGAGTTAGTTTCGGGATTTGAAAATTTTGTTTTCAAAATCTATTAAATTATGGATAAAATCTGTAAACAAATATGTTTTGCCAAAAAAAATTGGAAAAAACTTGGGAAACAGGGGCTTAGTAAAATAGGGCTTTATACGTTTCCAAAATTATCTTTAAAAAAAATTCTACTTACAGATTAAAACTAAATAAGTTATACTCACAACTAAGAGAAAGTATTTATCAGGGTTATAAAATGTCAATCATAATTTTACGTACCTTTTCTTCAAATAAAATATATGGTTTGCCTATTAAAGACGGAATCTCTTTTTTATTTTTTAAATTTTAATAATGATATAAGTCGTCTAGCATCTCCATCATAGAGTATAAATTTTCATTTTCCCAGCCAATATTGAGTTAGAATATTATAAATGAATAGTACTATTAGTTGGTTAAGGAAATGAAGTCACTCTCACCACCAACTTAGCTGTACTTGAAAATGATTTTCTCATTTACAACTACAGGATTGGATACAGCTGTATCCAAATTTCTAGTCCTTCTTCTCCACTTCCTACTAGGCAAATAAGGAAATTATTAGTACTACTTTAAAACAGGTCCCACCAATCTCAATTGTCTCTTTTGGAATACAAAGGATTTTGACTTATATCTACCATAATTACTACCTATAAATATTATAGATAGATGTATTTCTTTCACTTATATCAACAAAACTACACGTAATTAAATTTGATAAAAGTTATTACAGTGTCAATGTATATAAATTAAATTAATTGTAATCTCTCTATTACGAATATTCAAGTCCTTACATCACGACTCATGAGAGGTACTTTTTTATAAATAGTACTCCATAAATAACATAATCACTAACCAATGATAAGTCGAATTACAATATAAGTTTGAATTTCAATAGCAAATGGATCACCTCTATTTAATTAAGTTTTTCCTACTCAAATTTTAACTAGTTGAAACAAAAAGAAATTGATCTTTTAGCACTTTTTTATACTCCCTCCGTTTTAGTCTAGGTAAACCTATTTCCTATTTGGTCCATTCCAAAAAGAACGACCCCTTTCTAAATTTGAAAACAATTTAGCTTAAACTTTCAATTTTACCCTTAATGAGAAGCTTTTACAACCTCTCTCACCCCTTTTAGACTTGTTTAGGACCACAAATTCCAAAATTCTTCATTTTTTCTTAAATTCCGTACCCAGTCAAACAGGTTCATATAAATTGGAACGAAGGGAGTAGTACTTTATAGTACTATTTGTTCCATGTGTTTTTTTTTTTTTTTTTTTTTTTTTTTTTTTTTTTTTACTTTTGCTTAGACAAGAATATGCATTGCAATTCAAATCCTATTACGACCCGAAAATAAATTTCATTCCATACTATCTATGTAGCACAAAATTATTTATAAGTAATTTATAAATTTCATGAACTACAAAGCAATAAATATGAGTATGTACAATTTTTGTATAGTTTGTTATAGTAGTAACATTAAATTAATAATATTCCTTTACTTTCTCCGCCTATTTCGTTCTAAATAATGAAACCCCATGTCTCCTTTATTTTCTCTCTCTTTCTTGTTTGATATAATACACACATAGTCAAATGGTTTTGTGATTTTTATATACGTGAGATTTGCTTTTACACATATATATATATGTGTTTTATATATAATAAATCTAAAAACGGTATTTTCTTAATTTCAGTATTGTAACACATGTGTTTCCACATATGCATGTACACAAAGTAGGATAATATATGTACATATTTATATATATTAAAAGTTGGCTCTTCTCGTGATCTGTGCATAGTCTACATGATACTAATTCTTGGGTTTACTTCAATCATTGCTATATATCCACCTATCTTTGAATCATTCACTTTATAATTGGGATCTACTAAATTAAGAAGAGAGAGAGAGAGAGAGACCCATTTTGGAGTTTTGGGTATTGATTTTGAAAGTGAAACATTTTTGAATGACAAAGTTATGAGGATTTTGCCAGGCTTTTGGAAGGATTTGAGTGATAGCAGCTCAAAAAGCAGCTTTGGTTTTGCTATAAAAGAAGATAAAGCTTCATAGTAGTAATATAAAGGTGGGTTCTTTTGGTTTGTTTTCTTCTCTTATTACAGTATATATTAATCTATAATCCGGTGTGTAGTTTTCATGTATTATGTGGTTTGACTTTGGTTATGTCTTAATTCTGAGTAAATGTTAAAGTTGGTTGACCTTTGTTCACTGTATAATTCTTGTTTGAACATGTTAAGCTCAATTAATGGGTAAAAATTGTATCTTTAAATGTTTTTGTAATACTATTAGTTAGCTGGTTTTTCAGCAAAATGCTAGCTCAAGTGAATTTGCTATTGTTATTGGCCAACTTTTTATTGCTATATAGAATTGACTATGGTTTTTCTGAATACTGTGAACATGAAGTTTCTAAATTGTAACCTAGATATGATTGCTTGTGTAAACTGTAAAAGTTGAAAAGGAGTTTTAAGGCGAATTGTACATGCTCTGGAACAGCTTTAATTAACTTTTTCTAGTGAAGAAAAGGCTCTTTATGAGCCTTGTTGAGCTATTTTACCTAATAATACAATTCGCACGGATTACAATAGTCTGGCACTTTTACATATTATAGTGAAAAGGCTTCAAGAAGTGGTGCCGGTGAGATTATAATACAAGGTAACGCGGAGATTGATGAAGATGTCATGCATCGTATCAGAGCCAGATGGATGAAGTGGAGGTTTCCTTCGGGTGTCTTGTGTGATAATAATGTGCTGCTGAGACTTACAGGTAAGTTCTACAAGGTTGTAGTTAGACCGACTATGTTTGCATGGAGCAGAGTGTTGGCCGGTCAAGAACTCTCATACCCAAAAGCTGAAATTAGCTGAGATGAGGATGTTGAGGTAGATGTGTGGGCATACCCGATTGGATAATATTAGGAATGAAGTTATTCGGGGAAAGGTGGGAGTGGCCCATGTGGAGGATAAAGATGCGGGAGGCGAGAATGAGATGGTTCGGGCATGTTAAGAGGAGAAGTATAGAAGCCCCAGTTAGAAGGTGCTAGAGGTTAGCTTCGGTGGATAGCAGAAGGGGTAGAGGTAGGCCTAAGAAGTCTTGGGGAGAGGTTATTAGGCGGGACATGGCACAGCTGACTGAGGACATGGACCTAGACATGAGGGTGTGGAGGTCAAAGATTAGGGTATTAGGGAGAGGTTATTAGGCGGGACATGGTACAGCTGACTGAGGACATGGACCTAGACATGAGGGTGTGGAGGTCAAAGATTAGGGTAGAAGGTTAGTAGGTCGAGCGTTTCTCTTTGCCTTACTCAGTTCGCTAGCATTAGTGTTAGTATGATATCTTTTTATTCATAGAGTGCTGTTACTATCTAGAGTTTAACTGAATTCTTGGATTCGATCTTATTTTATCTTGTTGTTATTCCTACATGTTGCAATTATCTTTTCTTTTTCAGCCGTTTTCTAGCCGAGAGTCTATCGGAAACAGCCTCTCTGCCCTTCCAGGGGTAGGGGTAAGACTGCGTACATCTTACCCTCCCCAAACCCCACTTGTGGGAAACTACTGGGTTTATTGTTTTTGTTGATACTTCAAGAAGCGGTGCAATTTTGAGAGGGATGTAACATTTTTTGCAAATACTTATCGTCTTGCCATATCTATCCGCATCGGCATTTCATGGAGATGTTGATGTCCTATATCTCTAGTTCTAAAAGGATCACACCGTCTGTTTCTTCTAAGATTACACAGGTATGATAATTAGTATCTGCTGAAAATTGTGGACTTGATCCCTTAGGAAATGTTTTGTATTACAGTATCGCTTGTATAATAGATATATATGCTTGATGATTACTAAACATTAAGTGTTGATACGGTACTATCCAAACCAGGGGGGATTGATATTGACCAGTTCACATTCAACTTCTGTTTGCTATTTTGAATAATTCACCTAATAATGCTGGATCTGAAATAGCTGATTGTGGGGCTTGTCAAAACTTCCCTGTGAAAATTTGCAGCATATGCCAAGTAAATCTGTGACCTCATTAGTCGGCTGGTTGTAAAATGGTTCACAGTGTTATTCATAGAGATACCATAAAGAAATGCAACTGCTTGTTCTTTTCTATTCTTCCTTATAGTTATGAGGGTGAGTTTCAGTTTGTTTTTTCAATTTGGATGTGTATGATTTCAACTTTGGATTAACTCAAATTTGTGGAAAGTGTGGCCCTTCTCTTTTCTTTGTGAAAATTTCTTCATCCTATTTGTTTGTAATTTAAATCTTGCAGTGCCTGGTCATATCAAAGGGTTCTATGCGTTATTTCAGCTTATTAGCCTTCTTAAGAAAAGGTTGAACTGGAAGCTCTTTTATTTATTTGAGTGAATAATAGGGAAGCCTATTTTCTGCAATAGAATGTGAAATTTGTGATTTTTCCTGTTTGGCTTTATTAACTACTTTAAATGTCATCACCTTGACTATCATTTGTGAACTGACAGGATTAATAAATAGACAGTGAGATCAAAGCATACAACATATGGCGGTGTTTTGACCAGAATGGATCCTCAGGCTTTCATTAGGCTGTCAATAGGGTCGCTGGGGTTGAGACTGTCTGGAACAACTACTTTGAACAGTACAAAAACAGGGATAAGTGCAGTCTCTTCTCCCTGTGTGTGCGAGATCCGTCTTCGAGGTTTCCCTGTGCAGACATCATCTATTCCCTATATTTCCTCACCTGAAGCTACACCGGATATTCACAACGTTGCATCCAGCTTTTATCTTGAAGAATCTGATTTGAAAGCTTTACTGGCACCTGCCCCCTGTTTTTATGCGGCTCATGCATGTCTAGAGATAGTTGTTTACACAGGACGCAAAGGAGGCCACTGTGGTGTTGGTATTAAGAGGCAGCAAGTTGGGACATTTAAGTTGGAAGTAGGTCCCGAATGGGGTGAAGGAAAACCAGCCATTCTGTTTAATGGCTGGATAGGAATTGGCAAGAACAAGCTGGAGACTGGAAAACCTGGAGCGGAGCTTCATTTGAGAGTGAAGCTGGACCCTGATCCAAGATATGTTTTCCAGTTTGAAGATAAAACGAAACTAAGCCCTCAAATAGTGCAGCTTCAGGGAACCATCAAGCAACCTATTTTCAGTTGCGAGTTTAGTCAGGACAGGTAAATCATTGTTTTGCTCTTTTACCCTTTCCTAGGGATGAGTAGCGTATAAGTAGAATTGAAGTTCTACTGTTATAGTCTACTTTTTCCGGGAAACTTTTAAGTTGCTTCAGTTCTAATTCTAAGAGTTGTGTGTTATGCTGAACTTACAGGGTATCTCCGGTAGATCCATTAAATAATTTTTGGTCAAGTTCATTTGACGGTTCTGAACTAGAGGTAGAGAAAAGAGAGAGGAAGGGATGGAAGGTGAAGATACACGATCTCTCTGGGTCGGCTGTTGCAGCAGCCTTCATAACAACTCCGTTTGTGCCATCAACAGGTTGTGATTGGGTGGCCAAATCCAACCCAGGAGCTTGGTTGATTGTTCGTCCTGATATTTGCAGGCCCGAAAGTTGGCAGCCATGGGGAAAGCTTGAAGCATGGCGTGAACGTGGGATCAGAGATTCCATTTGCTGTCGCTTCCATCTTCTATCAGAGGGGCAGGAATGTGGTGGTGATCTTCTCATGTCTGAAATCTTGATCAGTGCAGAGAAGGGTGGTGAGTTCTACATTGACACGGACAGACAGGTACAAGCAGCAGCGAGTCCACTGCCCAGTCCAAGAAGCAGCGGAGACTTTGCAGCACTAAGTCCTGTTGCAGGCGGTTTTGTCATGAGCTGTCGAGTGCAAGGGGAAGGGAAATGCAGCAAACCCCTCGTGCAACTTGCCATGCGACACATCACCTGTGTGGAAGATGCAGCCATTTTCATGGCGCTTGCTGCTGCAGTTGATCTTAGCATTGAGGCATGCAGGCCTTTTCGCAGAAAGCTACGGAGAAGTACTCGCCATTCCTGGTGATGTATGTATACGCATAATGGGAGATATACTGATATCCAACCCCATTCCTGTATTTCTCCTGATTGTTGTAACAACTTTACTTTTGCTATGTAGTAACCAACTTAATCTATATTTAAATTGGTTCAAGTGGCCCCACGCGATCCAATGGCTGAGACCCTCAGGAGTCAGGACCATCATGGTTTTGTCCTCGCCATCTGAATCAATTCTGAAAGGACAGCATCACAATTGGGGGTTTTTGTAGCAAAAATTTACTTTGCTTACATTGTTGATACTGCAGATTGAGAAACTGACATGCTCTTTTAGACAAAGTATTAGGAAAGACGAAGTTCTAGATTCAAGTTTAACTGTTCCACATTAACAAATACTAATGGATTCACGTACTTAATTACAAAACTAAATCTAAAAGGATTTTGTCTTAAGGCAAAAAGATGTGCGAAATATTCCAAAGAATAAGAATTGTGGGTTAAAAGAGGTTTATAAATATTCTAGTAACATTTTACTAATTTATTTAGTATCACCATCCATGGTAAAATAATGATGAAAAATAATAAAATTTCATTCACCATAGTATTATATGTCTCCACAAAGAAACTTTCAACAAGGTATTTACTTGTATATATTGTAAAGTGAGGAAAGAATGTTTACATAAAGAACACACACACACAAAAGACTGTAACCAAAACAATCTAAGAGCAAAAGCGAGAGATTTATAAGATCTTAACATAAAACTCACATGTCATTACAATGGATCATGGTACAATTAATTTAGGTAACGGATTTAAGTTCACTTTTACAATGAGGAAATTGTCCTGATTTTACAGTCTTCCTAGAGCTTCTTCTCTACAGATAATTTATACCTACAAGGCTACAACAACATTTTTACTAATGCTAATAAATGGTTATCCAAAAATTAATAACCATTCTATAGCACTACTACAGTACTACCTGTCATGGAAGTGTATAGTCTGTCAAAGTTGGTAGGCAATGGCCATTGATCTTGTTGGTGCTTCCTAATGTTTTCTCTCCCATTTACCTTCCCGCCTGCCATCCCGTTCTCTTCGTTCCACAATTTGCCTAGACTTACTCCCCCGGATACCATGCCTTTGAGACGACCCAAAGCCCATGGACGGTCCCTCAAGTGCTGATACCAAGTCTGCATCCCCGATACTTCCCGTGTCCCCCGAGTCTTTACTACCATCAAAGTTTTCTTCGTAGCTGCTGCCACATTCATCTGATCTGTCGCGGGATTGCAAAATAGTTGGAAGTTGGCCAGAGAATTGCCTAGCCCCTGATAGAACCACAGTAGGCATGGTAACCATTGATGAGCTCGTTGCAGTTTCAGGCTGTGTTATCCCCGTGCTTGTTTTGGTCCCCTCATTACCTGCTCTTCCATTTTCCCTTTCACGGTATCTTTCTCGTGGCCTACTGCATTAGATTGAAAAACACATCAAGAGAGGATTCCTTGGATTTCAAAATTCTGCTGCACTGAACCACTGTATTTATCACTTGTCAAATGCAAAAGTTAATGCAATAGTGCAGCCAGGAACAGCATTCCCAGTTGACACCTAATACTGATTGAGAGACAGACCAAGTTACTTGCTGCTTGATGTTTTGCGGACTTTTTTTTTGTTGCCAAGCAACAGACTATTTTACTGCTTGATGTTGCAACCTTTTGTTGCCAGGAGAAGGCAGAATAGGACAAACATGATTCATTTACTCCCACTACCACCATTTTGGTGGCTGTGATGTGAGATCTACAATAAACGGCCTCTGAATATACCATGATGTTGAGACCGTGATATCAGTTGCCACAGGAAGAAAATCCAATAAACATGAGTTAGAAAAGAATTACTAGTTCAACTATCAGTCAAATTTAGTGTGTTCATAGTTCATAATACATGAGCCGAGGGTCTATCGAAAACAGCCTCTCTATTCCTCCGAAGTAGGGGTAAGGCCAGCGTACACACTACCCTCCCCAAACCCCACTTGTGGGATTCCATTGGGTTGTTGTATACAAAATTATCATCCTGGAACAACATAGGGACTCTTCCAATCTTACATGACATTAAAAAGACATGCTTGATCAATTCACATAGCCAGCGTGCAGTTGCTTTAGTTATTGCCACTGGACACAGTAGGAATTCTTCTATGTCCAGAAGAAAATTCAATAGCGATGAGTAAGAAAAGCTAGAGGCTACTTCAGTACAAACTCCTTAGTCCGAAGGGACCTTGTTATTCTGTAATGATGCATAATACATAAGGCTAGCTTTTCCTACCAAAAGAAGAAGAAAAAAAAACCTAGAGGAAGAGAACTACTGACTCAACCATTGGAAAATGAAGTATGTTCATTGTCCATAAAAACAAAATTGTTTGCCAGAAGATTAAAGAAATCCCATGCTCATCTTAGACCAAAGAAGGTAAATGATGTAATCTTATGTGACACCCAAACGACAAGTTTGACCAATTTAGAAAGCCTCATTGTGCATGGCAAGTGGTTCCAACCATTTATGTCTTGACAATTTATCCTTACCCTTAAATCACATAAACTAGACATGAGATGATGAGACAATTCCAGCGGCAATAACTAAAGCAAATGTTGCAGTTGAAAATAGCAAAAAAGAAGAGGGTGAGAGGCCACCCGGGGGGGGGGGGGGGGGGGGGAAGGAGTCAGAGCCAAAGATTAACCTAACATAGTTTGCTCATTCTCAACACAGAAAATTGACGTCAGATGCCAAAAACATAGTTACTATAGTTTATAATGAAACAAAAGTAATAGGCAACAAAATTTACCTACTGTGTGTGGATGAAAATTCTCGCCTCGATGGTCTAACTCCAGATTCAACTTGCTCAAGTTCTCGTTGCAGTTCCCTCTGCAAGAAGATCAACTGAAATTGGCATGCAAGACTCCCACTCCATATGAAACTTAAATCAATCTAGCATAATCACTTATGATGAGGATACAAGATTCTCTACAAATACCGGATGGTGGCTCATGTTAACTTTTAAGATTACACGGAAATTGTTAAATTCAAGTATAACAGCAAGGGTGAAAGGTCCACACACTCTCCACTGATGGAAATGTGTGATTAGGCTGCTAAGGCTGGATTAAGACAAACAATTCAAAGGAGAAAGCAACCAGAAACTGAGGCAATGTTTGAAATTTTAAAGGAAGACAAAGGAAAAGCAAGGAGAAAAAACTCAGGGAGAAACTTAAACAAAGTAAAAAAGATAACTTGTGCAGATTTGGAGTCTGAATTCCCCATGCAAAAAAGAAAGTTTTTTTCAAAGCTGATATGATGGTGTACTACTGATTTACATATTAAAAAATGTGTATGATCTCACTATACTCAGAAAAGTCACTCGGCATAGAGGTAATGTGATGACCCAAAAGGTCTTCACTTGTGTTGCAAGTGCATTCAGTGTTCCAAGGCCTAAAAACCTCCCTTTTTACCCCACCTTGATTTACGTGCGTGGTCCGGACCTATATTCGGAAAGCCTTCTATGTGAAAATATGAGAAATAGAAATTTTAGAGTTAAAACTTTGATTATGGTTGACTTTGGTCAACATTCTTAGCACACGGACCCGGATCTGTGTTCCGACGATCCCGGAAGGTCCGCAGTAAAATATGGGACTTGGGCGTATGTCCGGAAATGAATTCCGAGCTCCCAAGCCTTAGAAATCAATTTTTGAAAGAAATTGTTTTACTGAATTATCTAAGGAATAAAGAAAAGAATTAATGTTTGAAACCATTGTTATCGGGCCCGTATTTTGGTTCCGAAGCCCGGTACAAACTTGTTATCGTATTTGAAAGATAACTGTGAAATTTGGTGAAAAGCGGATGTCATATGACGTGATTCGGACTTAAATTGCAAAATTTATGTTTAAAGAAGTTTTGAGAAAGTTTCATTGATCACGAGATTTAATTTGATGTTCATGATGTTATTTTGATGAATTGATTACACGAGTAGGTCCATATGATGTTTTTGAGTTAGTATGACATTTGGTTTGGAACCCCGAGGGCTCGGGTGAGTTTCGGGATGTTTTTACACGTAGGAAAAAGTTGCAGATTCAGAGAAGTTGCAGGTCTCTGAAGCCAGGTCTCGTGGTTCGCGGTAGAAGCTTCGCGGCCGCGGTGGGGACTCCGCGACCATGGTGGGATTTGTGCGGTCCGCGGTGAGCAAGGCCAAGCTTTCGCGGCCGCGCTCGATTTCTTGCGGTCCGCGGTGGAGCTCCGCAGTCGCAGTCTTTTTTATGCGGTCCGCGGAGAGGGTCTGAGAGGAGTATATTTAAACGGACTTTTCAGTTATTTTTCATTTTTCAAAACCCCTAAAATATAAGATGTGATTTTTCAAACAACCTTTCTTCTCCAAATCAATTCAATTGTAAGTTGTTTTTAACTAGTTTCCTTCAATCATTAACATCTTTTAACATGATTTCAACTTAAAATCAAAGATTTTCATGGGGAAATTGGGTGTTTTGGGTAAAACCTAGGTTTTTCAAAAAATTGGGGATTTGGACCTCGATTTGAGGTCCGATTTCAAAACAAATCATATATTTGGGTTCGTGGGGGAATGGGTAATCGGGTTTTGGTTCGAACCTCGGGTTTTGACCATGTGGGCCCGGGGGCGATTTTTGACTTTTTGGGTAAAACTTTAGAAAACTCATTTTCATGCATTAGGGTTGATTCATTTAGCGTTTATTGATGTAATTAAGTAATTTGTGACTAGATACGAGCGAATTGGCGGTGGAATCAAGGGGTAAAGCTATAATTGAACCTTGAGTTGTGTTCGTGGCATCGAGGTAAGAGGTAAGTGTTTGGTCTAACCCTAACTTGAGGGAATAAGAGTTGTGTCCTATTTGCTATTTGTTTCTTGTCGAGTACGACGTATAGGCACGGTGACGAGTATCTATGCGTTGGTGTCAAGCATGACCGTGAGTCTTATCTTGTGATTTTCATGATCTCGTTGTATTATTCATGCCTTGGTGAAGATTTCTATTTGTTGTGTAAAGTTGTGAAAAGAATTGTGACCTATGAACATTGAGGAGCGTTGACTCCAGTTGTATAACGAATTGTGAAAGTATAAGTGATAATTGAAACTCTAGAGCATTGGCTCGAGTTGTGAAGTGAATTGTGAAGTAAAAGTGAGAAGGAGAAGAGATCATTATGTTGCCCCCTTGCCGGGCTATGGTTGAGTTGAGGTTCCCTTGCACTGTGTTCTTAATTGATATTACAGACGCTTAGGTTGATGATTCTTCGTGTTAGGTGTTGTAATAAGTTTGGTTATAGCTGGGTAGTTAGGTGTTGTAACAAGTTTAGTTATAGCTGAGGTAGTTAG